GTCTTCACAGTGGAGGACACTAATAACATACCAGTAATTGACAAAGAGACAAAGGTAGGTGAGGACCTGGAAACAATCATAATTACGGAAGAGGTAGTGTTGGGCAAGCTAATGGAGCTAAGGATTGATAAGTCTCCTGGCCCTGATGGAATGCATCCCAGGGTACTAAAAGAGATGGCGGGAGAAATAGCAGGTGCACTGGCGGTAATTTTCCAAAATTCGCTGGACTCTGGGGCAGTCCCAGCAGATTGGAAAACAGCAAATGTGACGCCACTGTTTAAAAAGGGAAGTAGACAAAAGATGGGGAATTATTGACTGGTTAGCTTAACCTCTGTAGTGGGGAAGATGCTTGAGTCTATTATCAAGGAAGAAATAGCAAGGCATCTTGATAGAAATTGTCCTGTTGGGCAGATGCAGCATGGGTTCATGAAGGGCAGGTGATGCTTGACAAACCTTTTGGAATTCTATGAAGACATTACGAGCGAGGTGGACAATGGGGACCCAGTGGATGTGGTATACCTAGATTTCCAAAAGGCCTTTGACAAGGTGCCAGGGTAAGGGATATCTCTGACCGGCTTGAAAGGATATTGGAGCGGGAGGGGGAGGATCCAGTTGTTGTGGTCCACGCCGGAACAAATAACATAGACAAGAGAAAAGACGACCTGTTCAGAGATTATCAGGAGCTAGGAACCAAATTAACGAACATGTCCTCAAGGGTTATAATCTCTGGATTACTGCCTGAGCCACGTGCTAATTGGAATAGGGACGTGAGAATAAGGGAAGTAAACACGTGGCTAAAAGAATGGTGCGGGAAAGAGGGGTTCCTTTTCATGGGGCACTGGCATCAGTATTGGAACAGGAGGGATCTGTACCATTGGGACGGTCTCCACCTGAATCGAGGTGGGACCAATGTTCTAGCGAAAAGGGTAAATAAGCTGGTCAACAGAACTTTAAACTAGAAAGTGGGGGTTGAAGGGAATGGTGAAACTTGCCCCAGTGGGAAACAAAGCAGTAGGTTAACATCTGTAGTGGTGGATTCAATTACGTAGAAAAATATGAAAGAAATGACAGGGAAGCAGAACTCAGGAGAGGTTATTAAAGTCTCCAGCACAGACACAAGTAGGACAGAGTGTTTGGAAAGGGCTAGCAATCAAACACTGGAAAAATGAATGACAATGGGAAGATGGAGGGTTAATACAGGACTGAAGGTGTTATATTTGAATGCACACAGTATAAGGAATAAGGTAAGTGAGCTTGTGGCGCAGATCAAAATTGGCAGGTATGACATGGTGGGCATCACGAGACATGGCTGCAAGGGGTTCAGGAGTGGGAACTGAATATCCAAGGATATACATCCTATTGAAAAGATAGGCAGGTGGGCTGATGGGGTGGGGTTGCCTCATTAGTAAGAAATGGAATTAAATCAACAGGAAGAAGCGAAGTGGGGTCAGATGGTGTAGAATCTGTATGGGTAGAATTGAGGAACCGCAAAGGTAAAAACCATAGTTGGAGTTGTGTACAGGCCTCCAAACAGTAGTCAGGAGCTGGGCCGCAAGATACACCAGGAGATAGAAAAGGAGTGTAAGAAAGGCAAAGCCACAGTGATCATGGGGGATTTCAATATACAGGTGTACTGGGAAAATCATGTTGGTAGTGGATTGCAAGAAAAGGAATTTGTGCAATGTCTACGAGATGGCTTTTTGGGGCAGCTCGTGGTGGAGCCCACAAGGGAACAGCCAATACTGGATTTAGTGTTGTGCAATGAGGCAGACTTGATAAGGGAGCTTAAGGTGAAGGAACCTTTAGGAGGCAGTGATCATAAGATGATAGAATTTACTCTGCAATTTGAGAGGGAGAAGATAGAATCAGAGGTAACAGTATTACAGCTGAATAAAGGCGACTACAGAGGTATGAGGGAGGAGCTGGGCAGAATTGATTGGAAGAGGAAACTAGCAGGAAAGACAGTGGAACAGCAATAGCAGGAGTTTCTGGGAGTAATTCAGGAGACACAGCAAAAATTCATCCCTAGGAAAAAGAAGCATGGTACAGGGAGGATGAGGCAACCATGGCTGACCAAGTCAGGGATAGCATAAAAGCAAAAGAGAAAGCATATAATGTGGTGAAGGGCAGTGGGAAACCAGAGGACTGGGAAACTTACAAAGACCAACAGAGGGCAACAGCAAAAGAAATAAGGAGGGAGAAGATTAAATATGAGGGTAAGCTATCCAATAATATAAATGAAGACTGTAAGAGTTTCTTTAGATATATAAAGGGCAAAAGAGAGGCAGAAGTGGACATTGGACCACTGGAAAATGACGGTAGAGAGATAGTAGTGGGGAACAAGGAAACGGCTGAGGAACTGAGTAATTACTTCGCATCAGTCTTCACAATGGAAAACACGAGTAATGTCCCAAAAATTCCAGAGAGTCGGGGGGCAGAGCTGAGTATGGTGGCCATCACCAAGGAAAAGGTGCTAGTAAAACTGATTGGCCTGAAGGTGGATAAATAACCTGGACCAGATGGACTACACCCCAAAGTTCTAAAGGAGATAGCTGAAGAGATAGTGGAAGCGTTAGTGGTGATCTTTCAGGAATCACTAGAGTCAGGGAGGGTTCCAGAGGACTGGAAAATAGATAACGTGACACCCTGTTTAAAAAGGGAGTAAGGCAAAAGACGGAAAATTACAGGCCGATTAGCCTAACCTCAGTCATTGGTAAGATTTTGGAGTCCATTGTGAAGGATGAGATTTCTGAATATTTGGAAGTGCATAGTAAAATAGGGCAAAGTCAGCATGGTTTCACCAAGGGGAGGTCATGTCTGACAAATCTGCTAGAATTCTTTGAGGAATTAACGAGCAGGGTAGACCAAGGAGAGCCAATGAATGTTATCTACCTGGACTTCAAGAAGGCCTTTGACAAGGTGCCACACAGGAGGCTGCTGAGTAAGATAAGGGCCCATGGTGTTACAGGCAAGGTCCTAGCATGGATAGAAGATTGGCTGTCTGGCAGAAAGCAGAGAGTGGGGATAAAAGGGTCTTTCTCAGGATGGCAGTGGGTGACAAGTGGTGTCCTGCAAAGGTCGGTGCTGGGACCACAACTTTTCACTTTGTACATTAATGATTTAGATGAAGGAACTGTGGGCATTCTGACTAAGTTTGCAGATGATACAAAGATAGGTAGAGGGACAGGCAGTATTGAGGAGGTGGGGAGGCTGCAGAAGGATTTGGACAGATTAGGGGCATGGGCAAAGAGATGACAGATGGAGTACAACGTGGGAAAGTGTGATGTCATGCACTTTGGTAAGAAGAATAAAAGCATGGACTATTTTCTAAATGGGGAGAAAATTCAGAAGTCTGAAGTGCAAAGAGACTTGGGAGTTCTAGTCCGGGATTCTCTCAAGGTAAACTTGCAGGTTGAGTCAGTAGTTAGGAAGACAAATGCAATGTTGGCATTTATTTTGAGAGGATTTGAATATAAAAGCAGGGATGTACTACTGAGGCTTTATAGGGCTCTAGCCAGGCCACATTTGGAGTATTGTGCGCAGTTTTGGGCCCCATATCTCAGGAAGGATGTACTGGCCCTGGAGCGGGTTCAGAGGAAGTTCATGAGAATGGTCCCAGGAATGAAAAGCTTAACAAATGAGGAACATTTGAGGATTCTGGGAGTATACTCATTGGAGTTTAGAAAGATGAGGGGGGATCTAATTGAAACTTACAGAATACTGAATGGCCTGGACAGAGTGGATGTTGGGAAGATGTTTTCATTTGTAGGAGAGACTAGGACCCGAGGGCACAGCCTTAGAGTAAAGCAAAGATCTATTAGAACAGAGATAAGAAGAAACTTCTTCAGCCAGAGAGTGGTGAATCGATGGAATTCACTGCCACAGAAGGCTGTGGAGGCCAGGTCATTGAATACATTTAAGACTGTGATAGATAGGTTCTTGATTATCAAGGGGATCAAGGGTTACGGGGAGAAAGCGGGAGAATGGGGTTGAGGAACTTATCAGCCATGATTGAATGGCAGAGCAGACACAATGAGCCGAATGGCCTAATTTCTGCTCCTATATCTTATGGTGTTATGGTGTTGGCAGAAGGGTGTTTTTCAGGCTGGAGGTCCGTGACTAGTGGTGTTCCACAGGGATCCATACTGGGACCTCTGCTGTTTGTGATATATATAAATGACTCAGATGAAAATATAGATGGGTGGGTAAGTAAGTTTGCAGATGGTACAAAGATTGGTGGAGTTGTGGATAATGTAGAAAGTTGTCAAAGGATACAGCGGGATATAGATCAGTTGCAGATACGCGTGGAGAAATGGAGATGGAGTTTAATCCGAGCAGGTTTGAGGTGCTGCACTTTGGAAAATCAAATGTTAAGGAAAGTATACAGTTAATGGCAGGATTCTGAATAGCATTGATGTACAGAAGGATCTTGGGGTTCAAATCCATAGCTCCCTGAAAGTTGCCACATAAGTAGATAGTTTGGGTAGGAAGGCATATGGCATGCTTGCCTTTTTTGGTCGGGGAATTGAGTACAAAAGCCAAGATGTCATATTGCAACTTTATAAGACTTTAGTTAGGCCACATTTAGAGTATTACGTTCAATTCTGGTTACCACATTACTGGAAGGATGTGGAGGCTTTGGAGAGGGTGCAGAAGAGGTTTACCAGAATGGTGCCTGGATTAGAGGGTATAGGCTATAAGGAGAGACTGGAAAAATTTGGTTTGATTTCTCTTGAGAGGCTGAGGGGAGATTTGTTAGAAGTCTATAAAATGATGAGAAACATAGTTAGGGTTGATGGTAAGCATCTTTTTTTGCCGGAGTTGAAATGTCCAATGTTAGGGGGCATGCATTTAAGGTTAGAAGGGAAATGTTCAAAAGAGATGTGAGGGATAAGTTTATTTTTACAGAGTGGTTGGAGTCTGGAACGCACTGCCAGGGATTGGTGGTGGAGGCAGATACGATAGGGGCATTTAAGGGACTTTTAGATAAGCGCACGAATATGCGAGAAATAGAGGCATATGGACCTATGGTAGGCAGAAGGGATTAGTTTTGTTTGGTGTCATGTTCGGCACAACATGGTGGGTCAAAGGGCCTGTTCTGAAGCATAATCTTAGAATTAGTGGTTGTGCATTTAAGGCGGAGATGAAAAGAAATTTCTTGAATTGTGAATCTGTGAAATTCATTACTGCAGAAGGCTTTTGAGAATTGCTCATAAAGTATATTCAAGACTGAGATTGACAGATTTTTAACTAGTCAGGGAATCAAGGGTGTTGGGGAAAAGGCAGAAAATTGGAGTTGAGGATTATTAGATCGGCCATGGTCTCATTGAATGACAGAGCAGACTCGATGGGCTGAATGGCCTATTCTTGCTTCTATGTCTTATGGTCTTACAAGAATGGGGGAAAGGAGGGGTTTTGGGGAGGGGTTGCTTGGCATGGGAATGGGAGAAGGAACTGGGAGCACTCATTCATATCCTCATTAACTCTCCCCAATGAACTGTATGGTTTCTTCCACTTGAAGATTCACTTTAAACATTTGTTGTTTTTAGGCCTGTATATTTCAAGAATTTCGAATTGAGGAGGACTCTGTGATGTTTGTAATAAATCTAACAGTTCTCCTTGACTGTCTCACAATATTTAGTGCAAGTTCCCTGCCAGGTAAATGTATTTTGATAATTTCAGACTTGAACCCATTAAAATACAGACACTTTTAAAAGTAAAATGACTGAACATTGAACTGGAGCTATCACTCACTTCCTTTCTTTGTAGGAGTGACAACAGCCCTGAGGATGTGTTATCGTGGATACGGATATCCATTGACACTGTTTCTGGAGGAGAGTGGTGTGGTAACTGTCTGTAAGATTCAGACTCAGGAACCAGAGGAAACTCTTGACTTTGACTTCTGTAGCACAAATGTTGTAAATAAAATAATTCTGCAATCAGAGAGCCTTCGGGAGGCTTTTGCTGAGCTCGATATGAGCAGTGAGGTGCTACAGATCACAATGTCTCCAGAAAAACCCAATTTCAGGTACTGAATTAACTTCAAACTCAAATAGGCCTTAACAAAGGCGCGTCATAATCTGTGTCTGACATTCTTCAACGTTCTAACTTTTACATTTTGCTCAGGAGGAAGCTTTTCAGCCCTCACTACAAGAAGTAGAAATAGGAGTAGGCTGTTCAGCCCCTCAAGACTGCTATGCCATTCCTTAGGATAATGGCTAATTCAGCATTTCTCATATCCATCTTCCTGCCATTTCCCCATAACCCTTGATTCCCTGACCTATCTTGGCCTTAAATATGTACAAGGACCCTACTCCCACAGCTCTCCATGGCAATGAGTTCCAAAGACTATCAACCCTCTGAGAGAAGAACTTCCTCGTCATCTCAGTTTTAAATTGGTGCCCCTTTATTCTGAGACTATATGGTCTGGTCTTCGACTCTCCGAAGAGGGGAAACATCTTCTCAGCATTAACCCTGTCAAGCCCCTTAAGAATCCTCTATTTTCAATGAGATTCTCTCTCATTCTTCTAAACTCCAGTGGGAAAAGTACCGACCTATTCTTGTATGAGCCTTTGCTCATAAGACGATCCCTCCATAGCAGGGATCATCCTAGTAAACCTCCTCTGAACTAGTTTCAGTGTAACAATATCCTTCCTTAAATAAAGGGAACAAAACTGCTCATAATACTCCAGATTTTTGTTTTAATTCATTCATGGTACTGTCATGGCATCAGTGGCTAGGCCAGCATTTATTTCCCAGCGCTAATTGTCCAGACAGCAGTTGGGAGTCAACCATATTGATGATCCAAATGTGGTATCACCAACACATTATACAATTGCAGAAAGACTTCCCAGCTGTAATGCAAAAACATAAATTGGTGGAAAAACTCAACAGGTCTGGCATCATCTGTGGAGAGAAAGCTGAGTTAATGTTTCGGGTCCAGTGACCTTTCTTCGAATGGTTTTTGACCCCCAATTCTCTGCATGTTCATGTGTCCGTCTGAATGCCTCTTAAACTTTGCTAGCACGTATAGAGAGGTGGTCAGACCACAGGCTAAAAAGGCAGAAAGGGAATGGGTGACCACCAGGCAGAGTAAGAGAACTAGTCAGGCCATGCAAGAATCCTTTGTGGCCATTCTTGAGAAACAGATATATCGCTTTGGATACTGTTGGTTGGTTGAAAATTTGGAAATGGCCCCACAGGAGCAAACAGTAATGGCCAAATTCATGGGGACAGTAGAAATGTAATTGTTATAGAGGATTCAATTATAAGTGAAATAGATAGGCATTGACCAGGAATTGACCAGACAACTTCTGACATAGACATTGTCCACATGGATTTTAACAAGGCTTTTGACAAGGTACCGCATGGTGGATTGTCGAGCCAGGTTAAATCTCATGGGATCCAGGAAGAGCTAGCCAATGGATACAAAATTGGCTTCAAGGTAGAAGCTAGAGGGCGGTGGTAGAGGGTTATTTTTCAAACTGGAGGCCTGTGACCAGCGGTGTGCCAAAGGGATCAGTGCTGGGTCCTCTGTTGTATGTCATTTATATAAATGATTTGGAAAAGAACTTAAGAGGTATGGTTAGTAAGTTTGTGGATAACACCAAGGTTGGTGGTATAGTGGACAGTGAAGAAGGTTATCTGAGAATACAGCGAGATCTTGATTAACTGGACCGTAGACGTCAGGCTCACCGGTTTATAGTTTCCTGGATTATCCCTGCTTCCTTTCTTAATCTCCAGTCCTCTAGAACCTCGCCCATGATCAAAGAGGATGTGAAGATATCTGCTAATGCCCCAGCTATTTCTTCCCTTGCCTCTCTCAGTAACCTAGAATAGACCCCATCTGGCCCTGGGGATTTGTCTACCTTAATGAAATTTAGGATACTCAAAATTTCCTCCTTCAATGTATTGACATTCTTTAGAGTATTCACACTCTCATCCTTGACCTCAACATCAGTCATGCCCTTCTCCTTGGTGAATACTGATACAAAATACTCATTAAGGATCTCCCCCACTTCCTGAGGCTCCATGCATAACTTTCCTCCTTTGTCCTTGAGGGCGCTGACTCTTTTCCTTGCTACCCTCTTTCTTCTAATATATGTGTAAAAAGCCTTGGGATTCTTCTTGACCCTGTTTGTTAAAGACATATCATGGCCCCTTTTAGCCTCCTGTAGACAAGGAATTCCTAGGGTGTATATGGAATGATTTTCTGGACCAATATGTTGAGAACCAACTAGAGAACAGGCTATCCTATACTGGGCATTGTGTAATGAGAGCGCAATAATTGGTAATGTAGTTGGGAGAAGCACCTTGGGAATAGTGACGATAATATGATAGAATTCCCCATCAAGGTAGAGAATGAGGTAGTTGATTCTGAGACAAGGATCCTGAATCTTAATAATGGAAGCTACAACGGTATGAGGTGGGAGTTGATAACGATAGTTTGGGAAATCTTACTGAAAAAAGTGATGGTGGATAGGCAATGCCAAACATTCAAAGAGCAAATGGGTGATATGCATAAATTGTTTATTCCTGTTTTGTGCAAGAGTGCAAAGAGAACATTGGGCAGGCCATGGCCTACAATGGAAGTTAGAGAGTATTAGATACAAAAATGAGTCATACAAATTGGCAAGAGAAAACAATAGATCTGAGGATTGGGAACAGTTTAGAAGTCAGCAAAGGAAGATCAAGGGATTGATTAAGAAGGGAAAA